CAGTCCCCGAATTTTTGTCAACCATATGTTCTACTTGAAACCAAATTGCGAAGTACCCTCAGTTGGAAACAAATTTGGCCCTGTATCGCGATATCTCAAACATCGTAGCGACTGAAACATGAAGCGACCTGGTGCAGCACATTAAGTCACAAACGAGAGATTCAGTTGGGTTCCAGGTGAGTCTCTCGAAAAACCAAATTAGTTTGCAAATGAGTGTATATTCGCTAAGCTGATCTCTAGTTATTCTAGAAACTGGTCTCTCCATATTTGATTGTATCTTGATGAAATAGCATTCAGACAGTACTGCAGTCACCCGGCTCTGACCGTTTTGGTTTATTACGGTTTATCTGCGTGTCGGTGCCCGTTATTTTGACGTCACAATCCGATTCTGCCTATGGATTTTTGTATCACAGACAAAAAGTTACTTTCACTCAAGAGGAAAGCGGTAGAGCGTCTGCTTAAAGATAGGTTACTTCGGTGATAAACGCTTGATGGACAGCCATGAGGTTTCTGTTTACGTGTTTCACCGTCCATAGCCTGCTGTCAACCAGACAGACGTGCACACAACAGACGGCCAAACAGAGTAAACGAACCATACGACTGACCTCAATTCTGGACATGCTATCGACTATCATCAATCGTCTGCTTATGAGGGCGGTACATCTCAGCCAGAGTAAAACTATGCGGTTGCAATCTGTCATGACAGTATTCATTGAGAACTGTTCTGCTCGGGGTGAATGCTCTGTGTAGCATGAGATGATGAAAATGTTTACAGTCAAGTTAGATCGGTAACTACCAACCGGCGAACTAAGATAGACTATCGGTTGCTCGGATACGACATATGCACATAAAACAGTTTGTTAGAACACAACTCCGAAAATCGATAGTTAATTAGCCAAACCAGGTCAGTGATACGCATGCAACATTGGGCATGGTAAAGGATGCTGCTCTGTTTATCGTCGTTCCTCGTGTTAAAGTGAACACTCTCACCCTCATTCGAACGGTGATCTTAATGTAAAGTGAACGACATTAATAAAAAATGAAAACACTTTTTACGATGCTTTTCTTCCCACATGACAAGTTGAAAGTTTTTTTAAATGTAAAATAGACTCATCCATTTGAATATTCCAGATAACCTGTTTTCCTTTCCAAAAGTGACGGCAAAATTAGACTTGTTAAAAAGTGCTATACATAGGAGATCAGGAGGTTCAAACCCCCGAGTAAAGCATCCAACACTTGGTTTCTGAGTGATACTCATCAGTTGTGGCCACAGTCATGATTCCATTAATTTATCGATTGTTACAAACACTGCAACGTCCTGTGTAGACATCCTGGCTTCATTGATCACCGCCCATGAGTGAAATCATTTATCTAACGAGCACTACCGCCGCAGCACCGATACTTAGTACGTAACTAGATCAAGCGAAAAAGAAGCCTGTCAAATCAATGCTGAAAAATTGCCAGAAGCTAAACTTATCGTAACACACCCGGACAGCAGTTTAGAGTTGCGAAACCGCTCCGCGGGATTAGTCCACACACAATCTTTTATGCGGCAGAAGTTTCAATGAATACACGCTCGATTGAACAGCCGTCCTTCTGTCCTGACGCTGACATGATCGCACAAAGATGAGCTAAATAACCAGTTTTCCACAACTTCGTTTCTCCAACTATTTCCCTACCTCGTTCCCTGTGTGAACAAGTATTTTTGCAGCTGTATAAAGCCCTCTAAGTGGGAAATCAATATACACTGCTCGCTACCGCTTTTTTACCCGTTGACACGGCCTGTGTCCATACGTTGGAATTTGGTATCTCATCGGTCATATACAGCAGTCCTCTACGCAAAAGACTTCACGGAAAACAAACTAACTCGTACCAGCTCCACGCTCGAGTGTCTATAGGAGGAACTGTGCTAATAACTGTCTCCACAGACACCATCTGACAGTCCTCCAAGACTTCTCAGCTAATTAAAACTTCTCTGTACAATGCAAGAATAGTAACACCATGGTATAATTAAAGTACTCCGCCATAAATATCATTGCTGTAAAAATACTAACTCAAAAGGCTTCAGTGGTTGAAACCATATGTCACATTGGCTCAGAGCTGGTTCAAGGTGTCTCTGTGAATAGCTAGGTTATGGCCTTTTATTCTACCATAATATATCTAGGCTCTATACTTTCTCTGTTACATGCCACATGACGCTGAAGTTCCTACCTCATATAGGCCTCGTGATTCATGCATGTAAACAATGTCCTCATAGGGTTTAAACAAATGACACCTTAGCACCCTCATCTCTTTGATCTCTCCAATGTCTTCTTCATACTCGTCAGCAATGACCCCCTTTTCACGTATGATCCTTATTTGAAGGTTGGCTGCTGTATTTGGAAACGGGAAAACTGTTCATCCTAGATTATCTTAAGTGGCTGGAACACGGGGTTACTTTTCCGCATAACCCTGTGAACCCTATCGACATAGTCATACTTTAACACTTATGTCTCGTAGTCGCAGGATTCCGGAACCGAACTGCTGTAGTAAAAATGAAAATCAAACTGATTTTCTTTTTTCTTCATAATGGGACTACAGCATGAAAAACGGTTTTTTGTCGGACCGGAGCACATTGTAGGCCTTGGTAGTCGCTAAATGATGTTCTGAAATTTCTCAGGGGATGAGCTGCTTTTGAACAATTTTTAAACCCGGTAAGTGGTATAGACGTAATACACTACTCATAAGGTTGCTGAAAATTTCTTATTCCTTACATGTATCACGATATCTCGAAAATGTTACCAACTGAAACATGAGGCGGCCTGGTACAGCACATCCAGTTGCTTGAAAACAGCATAAACGAGAGAGTTAGCTGGATCCTTGCTGAGTCCCCCTCAAAACCAAATTTGCTTGCAAATGAATGTGTTCCGCTGGTAATTGGTACTTTATCGAATCGTCCCGGTTTTTTTACTGCATCGAGGACTGGATAGTCATTTGAACAGAATGGTCCACATCGCAAACCCAATGCTGTTTTTTCTGAGATTGATGTTCTTTTGCAGAGAACTTATACTTTTGAAGAGGCTTTGTGTAAAGAATCGAGAGTCGTCTCCCTAAACGGGGTATTTTTATGGCACCGTACTATTATTTCCGTATTAGTCGTTTACCGTGCAGCCAAAATCATGTTATTCTATTGGAGTTATTATTCAAGAAACCGCGCTTCATACTTGCAAAGTGTAAAGTGCTGCTACAAGACTGGGCGGGATCAAACTCACAGCCCATGCTTGCAGGTGAGCCGATTGACGTGGTAGATAGATTTGTTAACCTGGGCAGCCGTATAAGTTCCAGTGGAGTGGCTTGAGGTGAGACTTTCTAGAACTGGAAAGGCCAGAGCAGCTCTTTCCGACCTCCGACACCTATGGCGCCAAAGTGACGTGGGTAATGCCAGATGGTCTTAGAAAGAACAAACTCTCCCGCTATAAATGAATTACTCACGCTTCATAGGCTGCGCTGGTTTGGGTATGTACTTCGCGTGCCAGAAGGCCGTCTGATCCACAGAGCTCTTTTTTCCGAGCCCTGCGCTGAGTGGAAGCGACCGAGCGGTGGACAGTGCATGACCTGGCGACGAAGTACGAAAACAGTAACCAGTACACCTAGTCGGGTGGGCAACTGTCACCTCACCCAGAGACTCAAATCACCAGTGGTTAATGACATAGGCGGAAATGGCCCAGTCATACAGTCAGTGGTGCTCGTGCACCAAAGTCATCGCCTTCAACACGTAGCTGTCCAGTTTCGGAAAAAACTGAACATGCCTTCGCCTCCAAGGCTTGGTTGTATATTCCAGTTTCCCGTTTTCCGGGGATCAAAACTTTAGCAGCTGGAACCAATGTACCAATGGTACATGGTTTATAGGTGATGGATTGATTGAATTGATTCAAGAAGCCTGTTAGTTTTAGATCACTAAAAGGCCCAATTCGCGGAATATGTATATTACTTACTTTGGGAGGGAACTTCGCACGACGGGGGCATATAATTTTGGCTGTTTCAGACCCTCAGAGGGTCTGGAGCGAATGGAACTATCTGTAGATGTCATGATAAGAACAATGGTAGCTTACATAGCTCACACCACAAAGTGGTACGCAGGTAGATGTGGATCACGTGGATGGTTAGAGAAGGTCGTGTGTATAAATGCAAAAATGGGAGGGAAGGGGTAGAAAGGTCATTGAATCACGAAGTAAAGTGGATGATATCACAGTCGCTTAGTCATGCGTACAAAATAGCTAATAGGTCAGCATAAGTTCAAAGCTACTCATAAGTTCGCCGAACCCCCCCTCCCGGGACAGCCCTAAACTGGTCCGGCCTTTCAGTTCGGACTTATCAGGTAGGCACAGTCCCCGAATTTCCGTCAATATAATGTTCCACTTGAACCCACAACTAGCAACTAGCGAACTAAACTCACTTGTAAACTAGCTTGCTCGAAAGGAGAGACTCAATTGAATCCAACTGGATGCACTCCCCGAATTATCCATCAACCTCGTTTCAATTTTGGACATCAAAAGTTAGGTACTTCGAGGCAAACAGTGATGCGCACGATAAGCCGATGTTGACAGAAGATTCATTAAAACCAAGCTAATATGCAAACCAGTGTTTATCGTAACTTGCGTCAGCTTGGTAGTCAGGTATGGAATGAAACTGGTAGAGATGCAGGGATCGGACCTATTTGATGGACCTAAAGAAGGAAGTTGGCGATTCGAAACTTTGCGTTTAGTGTTTAAAGTAGAACCGACTACTTTGGACTGCAGAAATTATTTAGTGAAACGCTGTTGACCATTTTATTGTCATCACTTATGGGTCAGGTGTTTGATTAAAAGCTGACTCAGTTCCCTGGGCCTACACAGACAAATAAGCAGTGTAGCAGCCCGTTTACAAGACCGGCCGCTTTCTGTCAATTCGTAGAAATGCCTATTACAAGAGGTTATCGTAAAAGGAAAGGATCTGGAAGCCATCAGACCCTCAACAGTTTGCCCTCTCTTTTAGATATCACTTCAGGCAAAACAGCTTTACATGTGGAAATCATCATTGAAATGTCTTCACTTTTCTCCAACGCCTACTGTGATTTGCTGACCTTGCACACAGTGAAGGTTAGTGTTAGTGCTGTGCGCCTTCCAGGATGGGCTCCCCGTGACCCCACGTATATTCGGCTGAAGACGTTGCAAGAAATGGTGGCTAATCGATGTCAGTGGCCTTCGTGCTGTCAGTTTCTTTCCAGATTGTCTGATTGAGCGGTTAGAGGTGTAGGCGGCCCAGAATACTTGACATAGGCCTGCACTAAGTCCCCTCCACAACCCACTCTTTCTTCTTTTTACTCTAGG